GAGGACAGAATCGGCGGTGGCGTACTCTTCGCTGTAGACTCTTCAATACCATCTGAAGAAGTTAGTCTTCCACACATTGATTCAGTAGAATTCAAATGCATTCGTGTACAGTCTGGAAAAGGGTCTATTTACTTAGCTCTATGCTATATCCCTCCCCGATCTGACACATTGGTGTATTCACGACTCATCTCTTTACTGAAATCAGTTAATTTACTGACTAAACCCTCTGATTCAATGATTTTGTTGGGTGATTTTAATTTACCAAGCATATCATGGAACATCATTGACAACGATATTCGCGTCTAGTGAGTGCAACAACGTATTTTTAGAGGAGATGGCTGAACTCTGCCTAACTCAGGTTAATGTACTTCACAATAAGTTTGGTAAAGTATTAGATCTTGTTTATGTTGATGATGCATCTAAGTCCGTTGTAAATAAGCGGGATCCACTAGTTTTGCCCGAAGATGTCTACCACCCTGCTATGGAGGTATCTTACGAAGTTATAAGTGACTAGCTTATACCCGCGGGTTTCACCCCGCGCTTTTATAAAAATATGAAAAATAATTGAATGATGTTAGATTTTATTTCTGTGCCCATTTCGTTATAGCTCGTTATTTTTTAAGCGAGTTAAGATTGATGAGGAAACCCGACTTAGCTATACCGGATTAACTTGCTTTGTGTGCACAGGGAAATTCCAGCATAACTTAATTAATCACCAAACCTTCTTGATCAAATTAAGAGTTAATGATTAAAAATTAATTTTTTAATCGCGGTTACGATTAACTGTTTAGTCGGATTAAAACTAATCATGATTAACTGCAATCAGGTTGAATTTAATCGAATTAACTAACTAATTAAAACATCAATCGATTAATGCCAACATTGATTTCACATACATATCACTATACCAAGTTTCAGTTCTCTCCCACAAATACTTCCAGAGATATGTATGTAATATGAAAATTCCAATTTGTATTGGAGGGGCCTTGAGTTATCGGACTTACTTTCAGTCTAAGACCATCCTTCCGAAATCTGTAGTAAGTGTACTAAATTTCGTTCTGATCGGAAAACCGGTTAAGGAAGTAGCCTATTTTTTGAATCCAGGTCATAAACCATCCTTGAGCAAAATTTCATTTTCAAACACGTGGCAATTCTTAAAAAAGTAGACTATTTTCCAGTCTAAGTCATAAGCTATCTGTGTGCAAACTTTCATGCAAATCAGGTCAGTCATTTCCACGTATTAATTTAATTAAACTTTCCTTATACGTGATAACTCTTAAAAAGGTAGCCTATTTTCCAACATAGGTCATAAGCTATCTCTGTTCGAAATGGCATGCAAATCTGTTCAGTTGTTTCCGTGTATTAGTTTAATTAAAACTTTTTTAACAGGTGGCAACTCTTCCAAAAAATTAGCCTTTTTTCCACTGTAGGTCATAAGCTATCTGCTTGCAAAATTTGATGCAAATCCGTTCAGACTTTTTTAGCAGGTGGTAACTCTTAAAAAAGTAGCCTATTTTTCAACCTAGCTCATAAGCTATCTGTGTGAAAACTTCCATGCAAATCAGTTCACTAATTTCCGCGTATTAATTAAATTAAACATTTCTAACAGGTGGCAACTCTTAAAAAAAAGTAGCCTACTTTCTAACCTAGGTCATAAGCTATCTGTGTGCAAAATTTCATGCAAATCCGTTTAGTCGTTTCCGCGTATTAATTTAATTAAACTTTTTTAACAGGTGGCAACTCTTCCAAAAAATTCGCCTATTTTCCACTGTAGGTCATAAGCTATCTGCTTGCAAAATTTCATGCAAATCCATTCAGTCGTTTCAACGTATTAATGTAATGAAACTTTTTTAACAGTTGGCAACTATTAAGAAAAGTAGCCTATTTTCCAACCTAGGTCATAAGCTATCTGTGTGCAAATTTTCATGCAAATCCATTCAGTCGTTCCCGCATATTAAATAAATGAAACTTTTTTAACAGGTGGCGTAAAGCCAAACAGAATTAATTTTTTTTTTGTTTTTGCAAAACGTGCAAAGATACACACATGAAATTTCTTATGTGCACCCTCCACACAGACCCCAATCACCCCTGAATATTTCTTTGATATCGGGCAAGCCGTCTAGGAGGAGTATGCGAACAGGAAGTTTTGCCACTTAATTTTATATATGTATATAGATGGTCAAAATTGCAGCAAGCATACGAACCAAATGTTCGCTTTGATTTTTCGAAAGCCAACTTTAAAAAGCTTAACAAAGAACTGTCTTTATTGTCGTGGCCTGCATATAAAGAAAATATTGAACAAAGCGTTGCACTTTTTAACTTTACTTTACATAAATTATTTGAAAAGCGTGTGCCTAAACGCATGAATGTTCCTGAAGAACAAACACTGTTATGGTTCACTAAAGAACTGAGAAATTTGAAAAACAGAAAGTCGCGTTATTTTAGATTACACAAAAAAACCGGTTTACACTCATACTATGTAAAATACTCACTTTTGCGTCATAAGTATTTTGAATTAAACAAAAAAATTTATAAAGCGTACTTGTAAAATCAAACGGCGTATAATATATAACCCCAAATCATTTTATGATTTCGTAAACTCTAAGCGAAATGTACGTGGGTTTTCTTCCGCCCTGAAATATCAAAATACCGTCTCTAGTGATAATCAAACAATTTCTAACATGCTCGATCAGTTTTTCAAATCCAATTATTCCATTAACTCACATACTATCATCGACTATTCTTTTAAACTATGTCCAATTAACTCAATAAATATCCCAGTAATATCTCCCGATGATGTCGTAGTTTATCTGAGATCCTTAAAGCAGTCCTTAAGTTATGGTCCAGACCAGATCCCTACTTGTATTCTTACAAATTGTGCGATGATCTCTATGAGCCGCTAACAGCCTTATTTAATTTGTCTCTTAAAGATGGCATCTTTCCAACTGTATGGAAGGAATCGTTCATAACCCCGTTACATAAAAGCGGTAGCAGATCTTCAGTGGAGAACTACCGGGGCATAGCTAAGCTTTCTGCAAAGTGTGCCACTCGTTGCTCATCTGTAAACTTGATCTTCTTGGTCTTCCACCTAATTTTCTACGTTGGATCTCTTCATACCTCTATGATTAACTAGCCAATGCCCGCTTGCTGGCGCCTAATAAGATTTTTTGCGTTGTGTTAAAAGCAAATCTCCGGTGAAAAAAAATGTACTGAGCTATAACTTTACATTACATAAAAAAATTGCTCATTTAATAAAGATTTCAGTAACATAAAATAATGTCAGTAGCAGGTAATAATGTACCTTTGTACTATTTAGCATGTCATTGGTCGGTAACAAGAGCAACTTAAATTTAAATCTATTAAATACATTATAGCGTGTCTCAGTCCTTTGCCCACAAAAGCGGCTATAACTTTTTTTCTATTCGAAACAGTAAGAGTGGCACCTTTCTGAAATCTTTATTAAATGACCAATTTTTTTATGTAATGTAAAGTTATAGCTCAGTACATTTTTTTTCACCAGAGATAGTCAAAGTTGGGGAAGAAAATATCAAAAAGTTAAAAATCCCAAAATAGTCGTAATTTTATGATGGTTCCTTAATATATTTTAACTACATTGCATTTGGTATGGAGAAGCAACTATCTGGAAGTATTTTACATAAAAAATTTACTAAGTATAGCCTGGCTTGTAGATGCAGTTAAAGAAAATACATGAAAAGGCACGATTTTTTTTTTTAATTCAAAAAAATTTAAATATTTCAAAAACAGTACCACTTTCACCTGAAAATTTTTTGTTTGTCAGAGAGCTCGCATCTCATAAGCTGGTAACAAAGTATTGCCCCGTGAAATATGCAGAAATATGCCAGAATTTGCACAACTCTTCATAGCTGAATTGCTGAATATTTTAACTGCATTACCAACGTACCTAGAATCGCGGTGACAAGAACTGGTAACATTTTTTGGTAATAAAATTTTCCGGTTACAAAATCTTCGGTAACGTGCAGAATAGACCTGTAAATCTTAAGAAATGTAAAGTAATGTGCTTCTCGCGAATAGCTGTTCAGCCCTCTTCTTATACAATAGGTAACCATAACCTGGAACAGGTATTCAATTTTGTGGACCTTGGTATCACAATGGATCCTAAGCTTAATTAATTAATTGTCACATTAATGTGACAGTCAACAAGGCTAAAGGTGTACTTGCATTTGTGAAACGATGGTCAAAAGAATTTAGTGACCCTTATATCACTAAAACCCTGTTTACAACATTAGTGAGACCGATTCTGGAATACGGTTCGGTGGTTTGGAATCCTAGGTATCAAATTTACTCAGACAAGATAGAATGAATTCAAAACAATTCTAACTTTTTGCTTTAAGAAATTTCCGTTGGGATTCTCAATATAACCTTCCGCCTTATACGAGCCGATTAAAACTTATTAATCTTCCTACACTTTCCAGCCGCAGGCAAATGCTTGGTACAATTTTTATTGTTAAATTACTGACATACTCAATTTCAAGTCCGCTTCTTCTGGGTGAAGTTAGCCTAAATGTTCTCTCCCGGTTATCAAGAAAGCTTGTAAAACTAATTTTGAATTGCACGACCCACTCCGTTGCTTATGCCAGGATTTAACTCTCATTCCAGAACGTTTGATATATCAGATCCGCTTTTCAGTATTAAGAAAGCGGTACACTCCTCTCTCAATAAATGAATTATTAATACAAAGACATAAAATCAGCTGATGAATTTAGTTCTGTAGCTGAACAGTTTTAGATCTCGACACTTAACAAACTCCTGCCTATTGTGACTCGGCGCAAAAATTGAAAATATTGGTTCCGTACGTCATGCGGACTGCGCCCCTCGTGCGTATGAGCGGGAATTGGGGGTAAAAACCGTTGGGATTATTTTTATTATTATTATATATGTACATATGTTTTTATGTTTGCACATAGAAAAATTTTGTTATGACTGAATGACATAATTGATATTTCTCCAAATTTTTGCAGACTTTAGGTCGTCAAGACGGAGTAAAACAAGACTGGATTGTAGAGGACACAATTGGAAATTGGTGGCGCCCGAATTTTGAGCCCCCTCAGTATCCTTACATTCCGCCACATATCACCAAACCAAAAGAGCATAAACGGCTGTTTTTGGTACAGTTACATGAAAAGGGTAAGAAAAATTATATATTTTTGTTTACATAAATGGTTTGCTTTGGAAGAACGTTTCTGTAATAAAATTGAACTAGCATTTCCATGCCTGGTTTTCAATGCACTTCTGTCCCACGAGACTTAGTTTGGTATTTTTTTCACTGTTGGCCACACCGATTAAAAATCTGCAAAAATTATGAATAAAACAGAATATACACAAGCAGACTTGTCAGTACTACATGTCAAGTATGACATACCGTCGCATCGTGGATAGGCGAGTATGCATACCAAATTCTAGTTCTGCAGACATGTATGAAGAAAATTTAAATGTTTCAATTTTTCAGGTATGAACGTTGATAGTACACATTTAGGGGGGCGCTGGCATATAAAAAAATCCCTGGAAAATTGTGTTTACAAATTTTAATGTAGTTGATTGATTAATCCTTATT